TTATGGTTTGCTGAGGTCCCTGGCCAGAGTTGGGATCGCTGGTGGCACTGAACAACACATGTGGGCTAAAATGACCTAAGGGAACCTCCGAAGGGTGTGCAGGGCAGAATGACTCACCTCCATTGCCTTCATGCTGGTAACTTCCACTCCACACTTCTTGCCTCGTTCCACCAGCTCACTACCAAAGGTGTCCATGAGAACTATGATTTTGAGGCATGGTGTTAACTTATTTTCTATACCTTCTAATAAGAGTCTGGCCTTCTCTGGTTTGTCAACAAAAATCAGAGAGAGTTCAGCTGTAAATGAAGACATACAATGAAGAATGAACACTGGGTGTTAAACCATGACTCTGTAATATCTGACATGAGGATATTTCAAGTACTACATTCTCTGAACCGAAAGGTAGATACATATTTAAACATAAAGCCAAATATAAGCAAATGGAAAGTTACTGACCCTGATCAATAATGAATCCAAGGTTCAAGTGAGGATCACAGACGTACCTTTGTTGACTATGTAGGTGATGGCTTCAGTCCCCAGGGTATCGTACAAGGGAACAACCACCATGGAGTAGGCAAAGCATCCCTGCTCAATAATCACCCACTGCACAAACAGAAAAGGTGGGACAAGGGGGGGAATGAGATGTCACAGTGGAAACAATCCAAGAACATACTCTAAAAGAGATGCAAAGTGAAAACATTTGACATAACAAAATCAATATTTTGTGTATCTGCTCCTCTGTGCCAGGTGCCATGAGAAATTTATCTTGATTACAAAACATGTGCCCCCTTCTTAAAAAGAAAATCTGCCTGAAGAACTGATGGAAACTGATGTGAAAAGATAACGAACAATACAAGAAAGGCTAATTCAGAGATAGGAGAGGCCACTATGGGCTGAGGTGGCTGCAGATGCCCTTGAGGGAGGAAACTTTTGGACAGAAAGAGAGGTAAGAAGATTCCAACAGAGAAACTACAGGACCAGCAGAGGGTGAGGAGGCTCAGTGAGGGAGGGATCTGGCTGGTAGGGAGGGCTCCAGCTAGGAGGTGGGAAGCAGCCACTGAAGGTTTCCAGGAAAAGCCATGACTGTGGGGTGCAGGGAGGGTCAGTCCACTACAGGGTCCTCTCCCTGGAAACAGGGGGAAGTGAACGACATACTTGTCAAATAGGAAAATTGTTTTGGCAAGATCTTCCCAGAAAAGCAATGAAGAAAAGGAGAAACTGGTCCTCTTACCACATATAAAGATGTGGTAAGATGTGTCTATGCTCATCTGTTGCATGGCCACTGACCAGATACAGGAAAAATGTGGCAAGATCCTGTTTACACTTACAATCCCTCAGGGATCCAGAGTTTTGGGCTGCACTTTTCAAACCAATTCACCTGCAGAACCTTGACACACAGCACAGATAAAGGGAGCAGAGCCCACTCA